CGGGGCATGCTGGAGAACTGGCGCCCTCTCGCTTTGGGAGACACCGTCCCCAAACTCTTCGCCGCGATTCTCGCCGATCGTCTGATCGACTGGGCGGTCGCCAACCGCCGACTTAGTCCCGCCCAGAAGGGCTTCCTGAGGGACGAGGGATGCTTCGAGCACAATTTCGTCCTTCAGGAGGCCCTGACTGACGCGAGGAGGAGCCGGAGGCAGGCGGTCGTCGCGTGGCTGGACCTGTCCAACGCGTTTGGATCGATCCCGCACGCGACGATCCGCCGTGCTCTGGCTGGAGCGGCGGTGCCTAAGGGCCTCATCAACGTATGGGGCTCGATGTACGACGGCTGCACTACGCGTGTGCGCACCGCCGAGGAATTCACCGCGCCCATTCCCATACGCTCCGGAGTACGCCAGGGTTGTCCGCTAAGCCCTATTATTTTTGACCTCGCGATCGACTCGGTGCTGCGTGCAGCCACCGATGTCGACGCGGGGTACCATATGTTTAACGATAAATTTAGTGTATTGGCTTACGCGGACGACATTGCACTCCTGACAGAGACTCCGGAGAGTATGAGGAGACTGCTCAACGCAGTGGAGACTGAAGCGGCGTTGGTGGGTTTGCGGTTCAACCCTGCCAAATGCGCCACCCTGCACATCGGCACGGGTGGTTGCGGCAGGGTTCTGCCGACGTCGTTCAGCATCCAGGGCCAACCGGTGCGTCATCTGGCAGAGGGTGAGCCTTACACCCACCTCGGTGTTCCGACGGGATTCTCGGTCGACCAGACGCCCTACGCCACCATCGGGGACCTCCTCTCGGACGTTCGCGCGGTGGATCGCGCCCTCCTCGCCCCGTGGCAGAAGTGTGACGTACTCGGGACCTTTATCCTGCCGAGGCTGGGTTTTCTGCTGCGGGGAGCCAGTGTGGAGAAGCGTCCCCTCACGGCCGCGGATCTCGCGATTCGGAGATTCGCGAAATCCTGGCTGAATCTCCCCCAGCGTGCCAGCGCGGAGGGGGTCTACATGCCCCCGCGATGGGGGGGATGTGGACTCCTTCCGTTGGCTGATTTGGCGGACGTCCTGTCGGTGGCACACGCCTTCCGTATGCTTACGGCTGGCGATGCCACCGTCAGGCGTCTTGCCTGGGAGTCGCTGACGGGGGTGGTTCAGCGCAGGATCGGCCACGCCCCTAGTTGCGAGAGTATCGCCGCCTTCCTCTCTGGTTCGCTGGAGGGAAGGCTGAGGGGCGGAGGGGAGAAATCCCTCTGGTCGAGGGCGCGGAATGCCGCGCGAAGGCTGTCCGAGCGGTTGTCTCTGCGGTGGCGGTGGGTGCCGGAGACCGAGGAGATGATCGTCGAGTGCCGAGGGCCCAGAAGTGCCGCGGTTAAGATCCCACCTGGAGCGCGTAACCAGGTGGTGAATCGGTTGCGCTCAGCTGTAGCCGAGCACTACGCGGAGCGATTGCTCAGGAAACCCGACCAAGGTAAGGTCTTCGAGGTGTCGTCGCGAGTGCCAGTGAGCAATCACTTCATTCGCGGCGGCAGCTTCACCCGCTTCGCCGACTGGCGCTTTATTCAACGGCGCGCGGCGTTGGGGGGACGGCGACAAGCGCTGTCGGCGGTGCGGGGAGGTATCGGAGACCTTACCACATGTGCTCGGTCACTGCGGCGTCCATGCTGCCGCAATACAGCTGAGGCACAATGCCGTATTGCACCGCCTCTGGAAGGCTTGCCGTCTGCCTGGCGACAAACGGGTCAACCAGCGGATTGAGGGCATCGACGGGGAACTTGGCAAGCTACGACCTGATCTCGTGATCAGGCACGAGCTCTCCAAGAGTGTCGTCATATGCGATGTCACGGTGCCCTTCGAAAACCGCTGGATGTCTTTCGAGGAAGCCAGGGGGAGGAAAATCGCCAAGTACTCTCCCCTGGCTGAGGAGCTCCAGCGGCGGGGGTACCGTGTCCTCGTGACGGCCTTCGTCGTCGGTGCTCTCGGGTCGTGGGATCCGAGAAACGAGGCTGTCCTGAGGGTGCTGCGGATTGGCGGTCCGTATGCCTCGATGATGCGGCGGTTGATCGTCTCGGATACCATCCGCTGGTCGAGGGACATCTATGTGGAGCACGTGTCCGGCGTCCGCCAGTACCAAGCCTCCCTCTCCACCCGCTGGTGAGTGGGATGCTCGCGACGCCGCCTCGGGCCGTCCGCCGGCGCTGGGCCGCCACTGAAGAAGTTGCGACGCGTCGCGTATCGCCGTGAGTGTGAATGTCGCGTAATTTATTCTTGTCTTCGTCTTGGCCCCCTTTTATCCAAGCGGGCAGGAGTGACCGATGTCCACATATCTGTATTATAATTTATCTTCTAATTTTTAAATTTAATTTATTAGTATGTATATGTATTTTTCTTATTTCTATTATTTTATTATTTTATTATTCTGTTATTTTGTTATCTATTTTTCTTTCCATGAGATATGTGGACAGGCCTTCTGCCCGCCTCTTGTTAGTATCCGGACACCATTTTATTTTTCTTTGTACACATATTTTATTGCCCGGACCGCATGTTTTTATTTTCTGTTTCTTTGTACTGTTATTTATTCTTTTTTTATTTATCTATTTCTATTTATTACCTATTTATTTTATTTATTTTTATTTTTATCTTATTTATTTATATCCATTTTATCCTGTTTTCTTTTCTGTGGGGCCATGAATGTTCGAGTGTGCGTGCCGCGTAAAACTTATTGTATTTTAAGCGAGTGTGAGTGTGCCGCGTTGACCATTTTGTATTTTAATGTATCTATTATTGCCGCGCGCGCGCCCTCGGGGTCTTTTATTGTTTAACCCATCTATCTGTGATACACCCCGAGGGCCGCCAATTATTAATTGCGTACTACACTACAATACTACACTACAAACTATAACTACGAAGCACATAAAAAATTAGGCCCCAGAAGAGCGGTCCCTCGCCTGCGGGATTGGCCGCGGGGTCATCCCCCATATCGATCTCGTCTAGATCAGCGGCCTCGACGGGATCATCCGGGTCCTCCTCGTCCTCCATCTCCTCGCCCTCCACCACTACGTCGGCAAGTACAGCGTCGGGCATGGATACGAGTAACTCATAAAATTCCACGGACCACGGCAACTCGAAAACCCTACCGGGAGCATCATCGGTGGCGAACCAGATGCAATCGCCACAAACATGGAAAACACCGTTACAGTAAAAACGGTTGACGATCACCAATCACTCGCGCACGCGATGGAAATGGGCCTGAGCGTCAGGATGATCCATAAACTCATCGACGTCACTATCGTCGACTTCGATGTCAAAGCCTTCGTCACCGGACGAGGCTTCCGCCGCGGCATCGTCATTAAATATTGGCAGATCACGACCAAAATTTCCGTTAAAACCCATGGT